GCAGCCGGCATAGCTCCGCCGGAGGGCTCCCGCCTGCTGCTGCCGCCGCCGCCGCCACTCCGCCCGGGACGCGCGCCCCGCCCATCCCCGCCCCGCCCCGCCCCGGAGCAGGCCCCGCCCCGCCCCGCCCCTCCCGGACCAGACCCCAGCCCTGGGCACGCCCACGGGCTGCTGCGGATGGTGCTCGGGACCAGCAGGATTTTCCTGCTCAGCATTCTGTCTTGGCCCCGCGGGCGAAAGAGATGCAAGAAGTGAAAACTTCCCCCAACGCCCCTGTTTCTTCATAGCGGTCTCTAGGTCCCCGGGCTTCTCCTGACTTATTATCAAATCAGGATATAGATTGTCAATGCGTGCTGCGAGCAGGGCAGTCCTGGCGGCGAGGTGGTCCTTCCTAGGGCTTCCAGGGCGGGTAGTGAGTTCACAGTTTGGGGGCGGCAGGGAGCAACAGTCTGCCCCTGGGTCACTAGTTCTAAATTCACTCTCTCGTTTATCGAGCATCCGACTGTGTAAACCACGTGTACTCAGAGCAGTAAGTGGTTTTGTCCTGCGAGCACCCAACCTATCTGCCCAAACAACTAACTGATGCGGCTTTGGAAGCCCTGGAGACTGAGAAAAGTAGCTTGATTGTGCCTGGTAGGCGGCACAGGGCAGGCCTCCCGGAGGAAGGGACCGTGGAGCTGACCAGAGGGGAGGGGAGGAGAGCACTGGGAGCGCCCGGAAAGGCTGGACATCTCGAGGAGACACAGGACTGTCCACAGCACACATTCACCAGGCACCTCCTATGTGCCGGGCACGGAACAGAGCAGGGGTGTGGCGCCTGAGCGGGCAGCTGGTAATAGCACACACAGAAAGATGCAAACTGCGGTCTTTGAGGGGCTTTGGAGAAAAGCATGAGCAGAGCAGGGTCTGTGGACCACGATGCGCTCAGGTTGATCTGGTAAAGCCTTGTGAACACCTGGCTGGGGTATGCTGAGCACTCAGAGGCCCCAGGCGTGCAAAGGCCGGGTTGGGGAACTGCAGACTGCGTGATGTGATGGGAGGACAGGGCGGGGCTGGCAGGTAGAGGTAGTGCTTGAGGCAAGGACAAGGTCAAGGTAAAGGGCCACCTGAGGTTTAGGTGGGAGTGGAGGAGTTAGGGGTCCTGCTGGATCAGGCTGGAGTTGGACACAAACTGGGGGTGGTCACAAGAGGGGGCAGAGACGGGGAAGAAAGGGGACTCCAGAGAAACTCCCAAGTTTCCAGCTTGGGGTTCTGGGTGAGGTGCCCTGAAAATGTGGTTGTTTGGAGGGGAGCGGACCACAGACGTCCCTACCATGACCGCTGTCAGAGGTCCCGGGGCCAGGAGAGGGAGTCCAGTCCTGCGGTCGGAATCCCGGTTTCCCGGGGCCTGACTGCAGCCATCTCATCTGCGCATGCCCAAAGCTCAGGCGCCGAGTGGGGCGCTGAAGGCGGGAGGCAGCTCCTTTTCTCCTACGGGTTTTCATTAATTCAACTATCTTTGGCTGAGCATCTTCTCCGTTCTAGGGAAAATGGGACCAGTAAAACCCCCACGTTCCTGTCTGCATGGGGTCTAGAGTTTATTAGGGTTGGAGAGCCCCAGTGATGAGCCGCAAACCCGGCTGGGTGCTTTCGCGAGTCTCCTGGTGGTAGAGGGGTGAGGGCGAGCTTCTCGGGGCGTCCTGGGTGGGGGTTCTGAGCAGAGAGACAGTACATTATGAGCTCGGACCGCAGTCCGGGTGGGGTTGTAAGGGCATAAAAGGAGAATCAAGGCAGTACAGCACCATGGCGGGGGAGCAAACTGCAGGCCGGGAAAGCAGAGCAGAGGCTGACTGGTCCCGAGGCTGGGGCGGTGTAAGTGGGAAATTTCTGGGAGACGAAACATTGATTGCAGTGGTATTTATACAACTGTAAATGTTTGTCAAAATTCACAGAACTGGACACCAAGGAGGGTGAATTTCACTCTAAGTTTTGCCTCAATAAGCCTTGCTTTATTTTTTTTTTTAATTTTATTTATTTTAGAAAGAGAAAGCGGGGAGGGGCAGAGGGAGAGAGAGAGAAACTCAAGCAGACACTGTGCTGACAATGGACCTCGATGTGGGGCTCGATCTCACGACCCTAAGATCATGACCTGAGCCGAAATCAAGAGTCAGACGCTTAACTGACTGAGCTACCCATGTGCCCCTCAATCAGTCTTACTTTCAAATAAATACCTATTTTTAAAAAAGGAGGAGGGACACCTGGGTGGCTCAGTGGGTTAAAGCCTCTGCCTTCAGCTCAGGTCATGATCCCAGAGTCCTGGGATCGAGCCTCAGCCCCACATCGGGCTCCCCTCAGCAGGGAGCCTGCTTCCCTCTCTCCCTCTGTCTGCCTCTCTGCCTACTTGTGATCCCTGTCCGTCAAATAAATAAATAAAATCTTAAAAAAAAATAAAAAAATAAAAAATAAAAAAAAGGAGGAGTGGGCGTGGTACGCAAGGGCCATTTTGCCCAAGGCCTGTTAAGGATTGTGGTGTTTGACGCGAACCTGCTGCCTGCCCGGGAAAATGTACCTGAACGTCCTGGGGCCCTCGGCAGGCGGGCTCTGACAACTGGCGTGAGGACACAGCCCGGCACTGCCGTGATGGGCCCGGCTTGGTGCCACATGCACAGTTCCCCCTCCTGGTCCCTCTACGTCCACAGCACAGGAGGCTCCAGCTGCTGATCCCGCCTCCTGAACACCGGAAGTTCGGGGATTTGGCATTCCTCTAGAAGATTAGAGTCACAACAGTGATTCTAAGTGCTCCGGGGAGAGAAGGGAGGGCAAGATACCAGAGATCCCAAGCGGGAGGGCCTGCCTCCCGGAAGCATCCTGTCACCCTGGGGATTGACCTGGTGGTTGGGGGGCTAGGGTTCAGCCCCAGAGGGAGGGGATGAGGCAGGGGCAGGCCTGCTGACAGGCTTGAAGACGAACTACGGAAGCGCACCCTCAGGGCCAGCGCGGCAGCCATCTGGGGGCAGCAGTGAACAGGGAACCTGCTCTGCCAGTGTGCACCCAGTTGGACAGTGACCCTTCTAGCTTCTTCCCCAGAGGCCTGCTAAGGGGACTCCAGAGTTTCCAGCTTGGGGATCGAGGTGAGGTGCCCTGAAAATGTGGTTGTTGGAGGGGAGCGGGCGAGCAAAGCAGCAGAACAGGAACAGGAGACCAGTGCCCAGGGACTCTTACGGGAGTTGAAGTGAGAACAGCCCTCCAGCCCATTCCAAACCAGCAACTGCGGCCCCCGCCTCACCACTCAGCCAGCGATCGGTTTTATCGCAAACCGATAAGCGGCCATCAGCAAAGCAGTGGTTGACCCAGGCCACCCGAGGGCTCAACATGTACCTAGGCCTCCTACCAACTTAACCAGACTCTGCCATCAGCCTAGGCCACCAGGGCCGGGGTTGAGAACCGTGGTCTGAAAGGGTGTCTTCTCCCGGCACGGAAGCCTGACCAACGTCCACAGGGTTTGTCTCCTAGGAGCTGGGGCCTGTCTCTGCACAAGGTGCCGGGACAAAGGGGGCCAAGTGGCAAGCCCTCCCTCTTCCTGGGAATCGTGAACACCCTGAGAATGGGGAGGACTGGGAACCTGTGAAGGTGCTCCGTCCTGGGCTGGTCACCGAGCGCCCCGAGGACCCCTGCTGGGGGAAACCCATGCCTCTCGCGACTGGATGCAAACTCCCTCACAATTTCTATAGGAAAAGACTCAACTAAATGAATTCAGGCACTAGGCTTCTGGGCATTTTATCAAGTGATCCATTTCTAGACCCGCCCTGGAGACTGCTCACTTGTAGGATGTCGCCACCTTGCGGTCTGTCCTGATATGACCCCATGCGTCTCAAAACTGCCCAGTGCCAGAAACGCCACCGGACTTTCTCTTCGTGCCTTCACCGTTCTGCTAGATGCTGCAGCATCAATGTGGTCACGGGTTATGTGCTGTGACCGTGCGGCAACTCACGCCGTGTGGGGAAAGCAATCTGGCAGACCCCGCTCAGCCTCCTAGACACCAGCCCTGCACCTACGAGCCCAACACAAGTGGTACCTGTCGCGTTGCATGGAGGAAACTTTCTCTGCTTGAACCGTGTGCATCACAGGACACTTGCCCAACCCCATTAGCTGTCCTCGGAGGGGAGGGAAGAGGATCCCAGGAGGCTGAATGCCCAGCCGCCACACAGGACACCTGCTGGCCATGGGGCACCACTGCCCACCACTAGAGCTGACCTTGTGGTCTCTTCTCTGTTCAGCACTGTCCCAACCCTGCTTGATTTTCCCATGGAGACTCTACAGGCAGAGGTGTGCAGTTCTTCCCTGGGGCTGGGACCAGCGCATGGTGCTCAACAGTGAGGTAATTTCTCAAAACCATGTTGGCTGACAAGTAGTAGAAGCAGGATCCCCAGGGAGTCAGGGCTGGCTGGGACCTGAGCCCTCACAGGCCTGTTGGAGCAGTGGGCCGCACTCACACCCCCTGCCTACCCCTGTGCACTCAACATCCACCCCACCGTCTTGAGGCCTAGGGTCAGCTCTCTGGCAAGAACCCTGGCTTCTCCCCCAACCTTCAGCTGCATTTACCAGACGGGTCTCTCAGTCCCAGGATCCTGTTTCCCGCTCCCTCTTTCCCTGGAGAGCATGGCCCACTTTGCTAGGCTGACACTCATCTGCTCTTAGCAATCATCTCCTCACACCCTACAGGTTCTGAAGCTCCACTTTACCTCGAGCGACACTTAGGAAACAAAGTGTCTTCGTCTGCTGCTCCTGCATCCAGGAATCCTTCCCCCCCGGTGGCTCTGAACGCAGTGTTTGGAGGATGGGATGGCGCAGCCTGCTGCGATTTCCAAGAAGCTCATCAACTCCGCCCTGTAACTACCATTTTCATTATTAGGAAGCTCACTTTACCTAAATTACTTTTAAATCCCACGAGGGCATACTGGCTTCCTTCCACAAATACGTGCCTCTTCTGTGTTTCCAACTATTTATTTTCAAACTGAAGCTAGAAAAAGGATGGTTTTATTTGTCCACTGAGATCACAGCCAAAGATCAGAGATGAAAGTAGCAACCAGGACTCCCATCGTGATCCCACCAGAAGTGACGACCAAGTACTACTTCCCTTCCCACCCTCAAAGACAAAGGACATTTTAAGAATTTTTAAAACTTTAATACAGTTCAAATCAGTGGACCAGGTTCACTTCAGCTCCTTCACTGCCAAACCTAGAGGAGAAGAGATACAAAATTGAGTCATCCAGGACACACATTTACTCTTGCTTGTCTGGACTTTGTACTTAAGCTAAAGAGAGTTAACAAACCCAGAAATTAAGCATAGCATGGCAGTTTTGCTTAAAATATTAAGTTAATCAGGGCTGTGAGATCAGCCCCATGTCAGGCTCTGTACTGAGCGTGGAACCTGCTTAAGATTCTCTCTCTCTCTGCCCCTCTTTGCAAGCCCTCTCTCTAAATCTAAAGAAATAAAAATAAGAAAATACTAAGTCAGTGTTGGGGGCGCCTGGGTGGCACAGTCAGTTAGGCATCCAACTCTTGGGTTTCAGCTCAAGTTGTGATCTCAGGGTCATGAGACTGAGCCCCACGTGTGGCTCTGAGCTCAGAGGATTCTGCTCAGGACTCGCTCTCCCTCTGCCCCTCCAACCCCCTGCATGCTCTCTTAAAATAAATAAATCTTAAAAAAATAAAAACAAAAAACGTAAACAAAAAAATTAAGTTTAGTGTTTGATAATTAAAAACAAAAACACAGTCAGAAAGCAGTCTGTCTCTCAGCCTTTATGAAGAGGCCCCGGGAAGTCCCTACACTGTCAAGGTGCACCGGCCAACTGCCCAGTGAGAAGGGGCGGCCTGAGCCCGCTCTGCGCGCCGGGCCATCTCCCCCTCCCCCAAGGATGGGCCCCCAGTCTCACCTATGCTCACAGCCTATTTAGTTTTCCAACCTGCGAAATTGGGAATTGGTGACAGCACCCACCTCACAGGGTTATGGGGAGAAGGAAGAGTTACCCTAGTTAAGTGTTCGCTGTTACTATTCTGTGTTAGAAAACCACGGACAGGAGTGAAACCAACTGTTCTCGGGCCAGGGAAACTACTTCTGGAACGGGATGAACTCAAGAGAATCACACCTATTCATTCCTTTCACCACCAACAGCAAGAACAGATACTTTGACAAGCCACAAGATGCACTTTCCTAAGTCTGGGGACAACGCAAGAAACGAAACCGCGACACAGGAGCCCTCCACATTTCAGGTCGGCCCCTCGGGAGCCCAGGCTCGCTCACCTGGGGGCAGGGACTGCTTCAGTTTCTCTGCCTTCTCCTTGTCCGTGATGACCAGGGTGTAAAGGTATCTGCTGCACCGAACTTTGAACTTCACATTGTCCTTATTTTTCTTGATCTTGACGGCTACCAAAGAGACCGGAATCAGGAATTAAATGCTATCATAGAAGTGACATCACACAGTTCACCTGCTTTCTGTTTACGCAGCCAAGTGGCACTTTTGGCAACCACACTCAGGGCTGCGCTCCCCTCCCCGGACGTCCCCTCTGTAGAAACAGAAAGCCAGAGGCGCTCTAGGACTTCAATCGTCAAAAACGTGTCAAAAACCTACACTTTCCTTCTATCAGTATGTCACAGCCTAGGGCTTAATTTTACCTGGTGTACCTGATGCATGGAACGCATGTGAGAACATTCTGTCACCACCTCCCCTCTTCTGGGAATCAGTTCTGGGGCCCCGGGGCGATGGTAACTACTTCCTTCAGGATCCTCCATCTAGCCCCAGGGTTATGTGCTAAAGCTTTTCCTCAAGTTTACGAAACCCATTTTCCAGGTTCTCTCCTACTGCCAAAGTCCGTCTCAGGACCACAGCTCAGACAACAGAGCCCCAGGTGTTAACTCGAGCTCAGTGGTGCAAGGTGTGAAGTTTTGTTGTCGGCAGACACGTGCTAGTGCGTTTCCATGGGGGACGACATTTCATGTATCCATCAAAACTCTGCATTCTACGTTTAAAAACAGCTCAGACACTCCTGAGAACTCATTCCCACATGTGCACTTTAGTGTCCATCCACACACGGGTTCGCACGTTGTTAGCCCGCGCACCTGACCAGATGGCTGGACACACGGGCCCTCAGCCCCACAGAAGCAGTAAGTGGACTTACAACCCCCGACTCCATCCATCTCTGCCAGTCCGGTGAGTGGGAAGAAATGAGGCGCATCACGAGAAGCAGCGCCTGAGCCTGCCCAAGGCAATGGCTGCCTCAGCCTATGTTTTAGGAATTTCGGCAAACTGGGTCTTCATTCAAACAACCTGCTTTGCTATCTTAACGCTCCTCTTAAAGCTCAGTATGCTGTGCCGCCCCAGCAGCTGCCCTGCGCCTCGGACAACTGCAAGGTAAGGCGCGGGGAGCTCTTTAAGAAAAACCATTTATTCAACACTGTCCCACCGTGCGGTCCTTCCACATAAGGGCACCCAGCCCCGAGAACTGAGAGTAGCGAGAGGGTCCGTACACCACTGCTCAGGGCAACGGGATCTGAAACAGCTGAAGGGGAGAAAGCCCCCAAGCGCCCACTGCCGGACGCACAGATCAACTGCGGCAGCCCCCACGGTGGGTCCCTGAGCCTCACGAAGGAAATCCTGACAGACGCTACCGAATGTCACCGCACAGAGGAAGCCCGGAGATGCTGTCTAAGCCAAGCCAGCCAGGCCACAGGGACAAATGCTGCTGCTGTCACCCCCAGGAGGTTTCTAGAGCAGTCAAGTCAGTAAAGCAACAGAATGGTGGAAGCCAGGGATTGGAGGGAGAGTGGTGCGTTATGCTTCTTGGGTGCAGTTTCGGTTGTGCAAGATCACAAGATCAAAAAAAGCCCAGTGAACGTCTCCAGTGCCAGCAAACTGTACACTTAAAAATAGTAAGGTTTTGCTATGCATATTTATAATTAAAAATATTTTTTAAAGTTTACTCAGTAAGTCCTAAACACACTGTGTCCAGGGGATCACACTGTAAAACCAGGCTCCCGAATTCCCAAGCAAACCGATCTGATGGGACTGGGTACCATGTCTTCATGATTCTAAGGATTTCAAAGGATCCTCTGATGTGACCCTTGCACCAATCCCGTGGGACAGATGCTATTACCCCCCGGCCCCGCCTTCAAGAGAGAAAAGACAGTGCTGAGTTTAATCTGTTGAGGATGGCCACCCGCTGTAAGAGCCAGGATCTGAACCAGGCCGTCACCTCAAATTCCCTGGCCCGAATGAGGACGGTCACGATAACCTCTTTACAGCATGACTGTATACCGACAGTGTCACCAGCGGTCCCCAGAACAGCAGAAAGGGTAGACCCTCCTCCTTGTTCCCACAGGTGGCACCTGCACCACTTCCAACAGTCCCAGAGGATCAGAGGTCACAGCGACACGAACAGGACCCACTAGAACGCTCTCCCCAAGCTCCCGCCACCTTCTCATTCTTCCACTGACGGAGTGTTAGAGTCTGGGCCACCCCAGTCCGCCAGCAGACACGGCTCTGCTTTCACGAATGATCTGATGTTCTCCTGAGGACACATCTCTGAGTGGAAAAGGGAGCTTTAAGGAGTATTTGATGAGGCAGAAAAATGAGGACCCTGGGCTACCCCCCAGTATGGATCCAAGATCTACCCTATAGGAAGCACGAGCCCCCACACCTCCCTCCACCGTAACAACAGGGCGCCAGCAGGACTCCCTCCCACATGGGGCACACCAGCGGGAACACTCGGGGACCAGGGGCTGGTACTTCACCAGTGAAAGCTTTGCCGTCGGAAGCTTCCGGGGCTTCGTTCCCTTCTCATTTACAGAGGCAGGAAACTAACTCCTACACGTGAGAGGCAGACCGCTTCCTACAGCTAACCATGCGGGGCCCAGACTGAGGCAGCAGTGAGCCCAGAACCCGACGGGGGGCACCAAGGTCAGGGTTCTGAGACCCACACTTCCACCTGGTAAGGACTCTGCTCAGACACATACCTCTCCTGAACTAACGATGGTCTTTAAAATGCTCACAGCCAGCCAAAGGGAACACACCGCCCGACAAAGCCTTCCTTTGGGTAAATGGGATAAAGTCCCTGCTCCCAGGCAGCCAGGATCTGCTTCAACAGCCCCGGGACCAATGCTCCAGGTCTTGGTGAGATCAGGGGAGGGACCCGGGGAAGGTCCAGAGAAGGACCAGCGGAGGGACCCGGGGAAGGTCCAGAGAAGAACCAGGGGGGGGACCCGGGGAAGGTCTAGAGAAGGACCAGGAAAGGGACCCGGGGAAGGTCTAGAGAAGGACCAGGGGAAGGACCCGGGGAAGGTCTAGAGAAGGACCAGCGGAGGGACCCGGGGAAGGTCCAGAGAAGGACCAGCGGAGGGACCCGGGGAAGGTCTAGAGAAGGACCTGGGAGGGACCGCTCCACGCGCACGCGACCACCGTCACCCACCCTTGCAGTTCAGGTCGACCACTTACATTTGGCGTCCTTTCGCCGGGCCGTGAGCAAGAAGTCCTTGATCTCCTCGATTTTGCGAGGCTGCAACGCGAAGAACAGGCTCGTGAGCTGCACTGACACACTCTTTACGGTCGTGACTTGACCACCGCCACCAGCCCCTCACGGGGACCAGGAACCCAGGACACCCGCAAAGGCGGTCCCGCCCCCACTGCCCTCCCCCGAGAAAGCCCCAGCAGGGGTCATACTCACCATGGCTACGAAGGGAGCAGGGGAGCGCGCGGCCGGCACCTGCGGAGAAGACCGATGTTAGCGTCAACGGGGCGCGGGCAGTGGCGACGACCCCCGCTTCTCCTCCCCACCCTCCCCCCGAAATGCCCACTCCTTCGCACTCCATCCTCCTCTCCCGCACCCTCGGTCCACACCCAAGGTCCCCAGATCTCACCGAATCGTGGATTACCCCGGATTACCCCCTTAGTGCCCCATCCACCTCGCGAAACACTCACAGCAAGCGGCAAGGAGGAGGCCGGAAAGGAGCAAGACTTCCGTTTCCGCTCAGTTAAACCCTCCCCCCGAAGGAAGCTGGGTACGGTGTCTGCAAAGGGTCAAAAATTACATAGGCGTTCGTTCTTCCCACTGCAGCACCTCTGCCCCCTCCTGGCCCAGATTAATAGTGCCGATCAGGAATAAAACCGGCCGCCTTCCTCCTCCCTCCACTTTTTTTTCCTTCCCCACGCCCACCCCCAACCTTGGCTTTGCTGAGCTTCATCTCCAAACCAGTTTAAAGACCGAACACTTATTACCTACTGCTTTCTTTAGATGTGTGCATTGAATATCTACGCAGAGATTTTAAATAAAGGGACCCTCCTATGCACGTGTTAGAACCTCTTTGTAGGGGCTTCTCACATGTCCTTCTGGTCCCCTTTTCCGCGGACATCTAATCTGGCATGAGTAAGACCCTCTTTTCCACTTACTGCAGCTTTTCCACTTGCCTCTTCCAATTCCTTTAAAAGCCGGCGCACGTAAGGGTAAATTAATACTTCCAGCAACTGACATTTAAGGAGCACTTATGTGGGGCATCCCCTGTGCTAAGCACTTTACCCCTGGGACCTCTGATCTTTAGACGCACTTGGGAGAGGTCGGTCTTGTCAGTACCCCAGTTTTAACCGGAGCCTGGGGGAGGGGGAGCGGAGAATGAAGGCTGTGCTTGCAGGGAGAGCCGAAGTCGGGATTTGAATCCACGCGGGCAGGTCAGGTCCCAAGCCCAGGCTCCTGGCCCTTGCTTTCTGAGGCCGTGAAGGCCGCAATTCCTTGGTCCCTGTGGTTCCTCCCAGCTCCACCCTGTGCCTGACATTGCTTACTCTCGGCAGACTCCGGGACACGTGAGGTTATCGATTTTATTTTTATCGTCCATTTTTATTCTATTTTCAACCTCTCTACAAATGTCTACATTTTATTATATTTCTTCCCCCAAAATTTAATAACTGCACAACAGAAAGTAATTGCCGTGTGTTTATTATCACAGAGCAGCCTATCTGAAGAGACAGAGTGCGTCGCCATGATCTTCACTGTGAACTCACTCCCCCCATCTTTCCTTCCCTTAGAAGAGCCCAGCTTCCTAGGAGTACTGGGGATTGAAGGAGGGATGATCCAGCAGTCCTTGCCCCTGGGAGATCCCAAGGTGCTCCAACTGTGCAGGGAGCCTTTTTAAAGAAGCCAAACTGTGTACTAACTACAGATGGATCTGGGTATTAACAGAAGGAAATGTTAATTGGTAGGAGCCTGAAGGTCGGGGTCCAGCCTGGGAATCATGGGAGCCTTAGCTCTGACCTGAGAAAAACATCCCGAAGTTCCTCAGTCTGACTTTGTCAGTCCTCCTCCATCCCAGGCTGATGACTCTCTGGTCTTTGGTCCACCACTGCTCAGTCACAAGCAGCCACCCTCAGCCCAACCCACTGACACTTCTTGGCTGTATGTCCTTCCTTGCCCGCACTGTCCCCCTCCAATACTAAGTCCCGCCCAGTTTCCACCTCCCCCTGGGGCAGGACCCTTCACCTCTGACTCCTGTCACTGGTCACTGGTGCAGCCGTTACGTGTACAGACCTCCTGATAAACTGTGTGACAGCGTGAAACTTTTGAGACATTTGTGCCAACTTTTCTTTGAAGACAAGAATGTGGCTCAGCATTCTTTGGATAACTCTAGAAATTCAGTATATCTATCTAGCTATCACAGGTACTCCCTGCTGACATTATAGGGTTCTCAAACTGGACACTCCATCTGAGATCACTCACTGAATGAAGGGTGGGTGGGTGAAGGAATGGAGAGAGGGAAGGATGGATGAATTAATTAGGACAAAGCACATAGTAGGTCCACAAAATAGTTGTTAAATGAATGCCTGGTGCTTCTCCCCTCTATAGGACCTACAAGACAGGGAGAGACAAGGGACGGGGGAGGGACTGCAACTTCCTTTTGGCAACGATCCCAGAGAGACAGCTGTTCACCCTCTTGAGTTGTATAATAAGAGAACACAGACATGTACTAACAAAACACAAAGGCAAATTTGCTCAAGTACTAAAAATTCTCTCCAACTCCCCAAGAGGCACAAATAGTAAAATAAACCGCAGCCTCTGAAAGGTGAAGCAAGGAACCTAGAGGGACATCTGCCATGCTTCATGGACAGGTGAGCCCCAGATACCGTGGTGTGGCCGAAGCCTGCATCTCTGAGGGGGAGCCCGGTGCTGCACTAGACAGAGCCTTCCCCGATGGTGCTGATACACACACAACACAGGAAGCCCTCCCTGTAGGAGATGAAGGCCCCCAGACTTGAAAGCCAGGCTCCCATGGTCCAGCATAGCATGGTTTCTGGGAACATACCATTGTGGCAGTTAGGGTCTGGGGGTGGGGGTGGGGAGAAGAGGTCGGAGGGGGCATGGAACAAGAAAGGTTAAGCTCTCTGGTGGTCTCGTCCCAGTCTTACCTGTATCCTTGGGGACCCAGACATTCTCCCATTCCAGATGCACACCTTGGGCTCGGGGGCCTTTCAGACCTGCAGGAAGTTGGTAAGCTGGACCCACCTGGAGCGTAAGTCAGCATGTCAGCTGTGAAAGGCTGGTTGGTTTTGGTGTTCCATCCAACACACATCTGGAGAACCCAGGGTGGTAGTACCAAGGGGAAAGATGGTGAGCAAGATCCACGGGGGCCCTCGTGGGGCTTCGGTGGGGGAGCTCATGGTCTGCATGAGAATGGGGGGGTAGAGGAGCGGCTCCCCAAGCTGCTCTGTGCGTCTGCCTGGCACCCTGGGCTTGCCCACTGTAGGCATCAGGGCACAATGGCCCATGGCCGGTTCCAGTCTTGCCTCCTTCACTTACTTGCTTCTAATGCCATGCGTGTGGGGTTATGCTACCTCTCTGCTTCCTCACGGGGCTGCTGTGAAGCCTCCACGGGATAAGGGAAGAAGCTAACTGCCCCGTGTTCCTGACTTGCCCCAGGAGGTCTGGAAACAGCCCCCTGCCCTGGGTGTAGTGCCCAACAGTGGACAGAAGGGGGCGCCAAGGCCCTGACTGGAAATGGAAAGCAAAGGCGCAGCCCCTTGCTTGCCGCCTTCTGAAATCCCAGGCTGCCAGGACCTATGTAAATGACGAGTAATATTTGTATGGTATTTAATACCTGATGGGGTGCTTTCATATCTACTATCTCATTTAATAATCTCCAAGCGGCCCCCAGGAGGCCCATGCTTTTGGTTGCCGGCCGGACTGGCCTTCAAGCCACCTTGGGTGGGGGGTTGTATTAAACCCTGTGGGTTTTCAGCAGGGATCAGTCTGCAGTCCCTCTGGCTGAACACGGTTACCTGGGAAAAGGATGGGGAGGGATGGAAGGAGCCTGGGGTGGGCATTGGGACTGGTGGTTTTTGGGGGACCCAAGATGGTGAGACTAAAGGAATGTAGGTGCCTCCCCTCCTCCAGCCACTCCCCTCACAGTCGGAGAGAACCTCAGGGCCTGGGCTAAAAGCCACAAAGCATGACTGGTCAAACTGGAACAGGGTTTCTCAAACTGGGTGCTACTGACCTTTGGGGCTGGGGTGGAGGGCTGCTCTGTATGCTGTAGGATGGTTACAGTCCCTGACCACCCCCCCAGCGGCCAGACCCCCACGATCCTGACAAACAAGCACATCTCCAGACATCACCAAATGTCCCCTCACTTCTTGTTGAGGACCGCTGGCCGAGAATGACAAGACTAGCAGAATATTCTTTATTATAATGGGCGTCTGGCCTGTCTGGGCCTGTGGCCAGGTCACTTCTGGGCACAGGCCACTGTCTTTGCACCCCAAAGTCATTTCTCATTTTTGAGGCTAGCCCTCTGTCTGGGTTGCTCCAAGGACTGGTCCCTCCTCCCTCTGTTGCTTCTGCTCCCGGCTCTGGCCTGCTGGCGGGTGGGGTGTGGGCAGGTGGTCACTGGGAACACATGGCAGCCCGTGGGCCAGACACTCAGAAGCTTAGGACTAGGATTCTCCTCCTCGGTGGGCTGGAGGCCTGGTGTAGGGGGTGGGTGGGGTGGCAGAAAAGGCTCCATGCCCCTACCTCCCCACCACCTTAAGAGGCAAACGGCCCCCTGCCCTGAGAGCTCAGTGATGACATGGAGTCCAGCCATCTTCAGCGAGCCGGCTGTCGGCCAGGCACCGTGCTGGGCGCTATCCTGTCAGCACCACCTTGCGGCGCCCCAGCTTTGTGCCAGGCCCTGCACACGTGTGACAACACAGAAACCAGATCCCGTCTGTCTCTGTCCCCATCTCCAGCAACTCCCAGACTGGCAGGGGAGGCAGTGGTGTGTCAGGGCTGTGTGCGCAGTAGGTGGGACCAGGTGGGGGCCGTGAGGGCCTGATCCAGGCTGGGGATGGGGCGGGCCTGGGGAAACCCTCCAAGAGGAAGTACCACGATGCTGATTCACAAAGGAGGAACCCCACCCCGCACCCTCGGAGCAGCCTGCCAGAATGTGCAAACAAAGGCAGATGAGTTCTGAGGAAGCCGGAAGGAAGAAGCAATCAGACTTGGGGGGCATCAATCCAGGAGGTCTTCTTGGAGGAGGCCTTGTGATATAGCACGGGAAGAAAACTGTTTCAGGGCACCTGTGTGGCTCAATCAGTTAAGCGTCCAACTCTTGATATCAGTTCAGGTTTTGATCTCGGGGTAGATCTCTGTTCAGAAGGGGTTTTATTCGCTCCTTCCAAGTTCTGGGCCTTCTGCCCATTGTGTGTGGCCTGTGCAACCATCTGTGGCTGCCCTGCTTTGGAGAAACCAGAAGACACGAGGAACAGAAAGTGCTTAGCCCGGCAGCTGGCTCTGGAACTGGTCATTGAATGTGAGTCCCAGGCAGGAGCGGCCGGCGTGTTTGCAGAGCCACAGCCTGGGGGAGAGGGGCAGACATCCTTCCTCCCCAGAGCTGGGCGAGGCCGGCTGAGGAAGAGCATCCCACCCGGACTTCTCCAGCAGGGGGAGGGGGACGACCAATGACAC